AAAAAAACACAAGTTGTTTCAAATTTAGAAAAATAGTGAGTTAAAATAATTTAAAATTATCTAGGTATAATAAAACTTATAGCTAGGCACATATGAACTTTTCAAACCTTAAGATCTAATATAATGGATATATTATTCTAAAATAGTACATTTAATATTAATTTGAAACATACAATGTATCTAATTAGAATAATATGAAATGAACAATTCCACAATTCATCGCACAGTCATATGAATTACACAATATTATTTTTATTTCCAATTAGTTATTACAGGCTATAATTATTAATATTAAATCAATCCAATTTTCAATCAAAAATAAGAACTTAAGCTAATACATTTCCAATAGCCCATTAAGGCTATGAAGTTAATGTTTGGATGTATGTACAAAAGAAATCATTTTTTATTTTAAAAAGCCTTTTGTTAAAACTTCTTAATTTTCTTAATATTGATAGTTCCCACCGATTAACTGTAGCGATGGATTTATTGTGAACGTCAGTAAGGATAATACATTGCTCTTCTGGAATAACCACCTCTGTAAACAAATTTATAATATTTAACATTTCACATTGGATGTGAATTTTTAAAATATTTACCTTGGTCTACGTGAAGGTCTATAACCACCATAAAATGATGACTGTGCACCACCACGTGACATTGGGCGGCCTCGGAACATAGCTCTACCCCTAGACGCTACTGGACGATTTGTAGTGCTTATCCCAGGTTTATTCGTTCTTTTAGGATTAACCTGTAAAAAAGTCCAAGTATTTATAAAAATGATATCTCATTAAATTGTATATATATTATCTTACTTTAATTTGACGACCTCTGAATAAAGAATCATCCATCGCCATGGCTGTGTTAACAGAATCCATGTCAGCAAATTCAATATATGCAAATCCTTTTGGATGACCATCAAATTTGTTACACAATATGGTAACCCGATTTATTGAACCACAGCCATGGAAATGAGTCTCCAATTCTTCTGCTGTTGCTGCATAGTCTACCTACAATTTAAAAAAAACACATTTTGGTATAAAACATTCAACAACTGTACCATTAAGGATATACTTACATTACCGACATAAACAGATCTAGCATCAGCTTCAGCCTTTTCCTGCTCAGACAAATTATAAGTCGCACCTAAAAAACAATATTAATCATTTAACTAAATGTACAATTTTAAATAAGAAAATATAATATATAACATTATCATATTACCATTATATCTTTAACTTTAATGAATTTATTAACCTATCATAATTTTATATTACAATCGTTCTATAGGAAAAATAATAAATGTAGGTTCTATCCATTTCGAAGTATTAACTTTTTTTATATTGTGTCATGTAGATTTAGTAAGTGATAATTTCAAAATTATTATTAGTATCACATGTGGAGATCTACTATATTAATGTTCCTCATAGTTGTAAAATAAAACTGTCAAAAAGACTATTTTATAGAGCTTATGAGGTTAATTATTATCTTTAAAATTTATGGTTGAAACATTTTTAACCCAACACATGGACTTTAACTTTAAAATTAAATACATTTATATTAAGTAAAAACAATGTAACATATTTAGTATTTTTTAAATTACGTTAACTAGAAATTTTAAGTGTAGGGTAGATTTAGTAAGTGATTGCTTAGAAATAAAAACTTGCAACACATGTGGAGATCTACTTTTATTTATTTTCCTCAAAATAGTTATAATAAAATAGCTACTTAACTATCTTAAAGAGCTTTTGAGGTACATTATATTATCCTTCCAATAATAAAATATTCTTAAAATACAAAAACAACAATCAAATACCTATGTACTTTTAGTTTAGATTTAGAGTAGGTTTTTACATGTGTAACTTTTTTTTTCAAAAAAACTTAAAATACATAAAGTAATAATTAGTAAAAGCATGTCTGTTCAAAAGCACATTTAGAATGAGATACAACCGAAATCAGAAAGTGTACATTGATTCATATTACATCATAGGAACAAGACCGTTTATTCATCATGTTAGCATTTAACAACACATTTTACCATTTTATAGTTTATCTAATATGGCCAAATTCCCCAACATATGGACTTTTACTTTAAAATTAAATAAATTTATATTAAAGTAAAAACAGTGTAATAATGTAATTTATTTAGTATTTTTTTAATATGTCAACTAGAAATTTTAGATGTAGAGTAGATTTAGTAAGTGATTGCTTAGAAATAAAAACTTGCAACACATGTGGAGATTTACTTTCATTTATTTTCCTCAAAATAGTTAAAATAAAATAGCTACTTAACTATCTTAAAGAGCTTTTGAGGTACATTATTATTGTCCTTCCAATAGTAAAATATTCTTAAAATACAAAAACAAGAATCAAATATCTATGTACTTTTAGTTTAGATTTAGAGCAAGTTTTTACATGTGTAACTTTTTTTCAAAATAACTTAAAATACAGAAAGCAATAATTATTAAAAGCATTTCTGCTCGAAAACACATTTAGAATGAGATACAACCGAAATCAGAAAGTGTACATTGATTCATATTATATCATAGGAACAAGACCGTTTATTCATCATGTTAACATTTAACACATTCAACTATTTTATAGTTTATCTAACATGACCAAATTCAGAAAGTGTACATTGATTCATATTACATCATAGGAACAAGACCATTAATTCATCATGTTGGCATATAACAAAATTAATCAATATCCAAAGGTTATATATGTACAATAATTGAGTATAAATAAAAAGATCAAGTTCAGATTGTTAGTAGTAATCATAAATTATCATACGAACGAGACTAGAATTCATCATTAATTGATCATCAATAATTATTATAATTATATAGTATTAAAATGTATAACCGGCATTTTCAAATACAAATATAAATTCATGTTATTAAATAAATAAAACAATTTATTTAAATTCATACAATCTTTGGGTGAAGAAAATTTTATTTCAAATTTTTGTTTGTTGAGTAAATTTAGTAAGTGTTTAATAAAACGTTTAATTATATACACATGTGGAGATTTACAACTTTAATATTCCTCAAAAAATTTGAATAAAATAGCTAATAAACTATTTTAAAGAGCTTCTGAGGTATTTTTTATTTTCATGGACAAAATATTTTTGCAATAATTAAATGGATCAATAGTCATAACCCAAAACACTGATTAAGAGCATTGTCAAGTAGAATTAGTATCCAAGTGTTTTGTTGAATTGTTAATTTGGAAAGAAACACATTTAGAGATCTACTTAACTTATATTTCAAAGCATACAAGACTCCCACGATGGTACTATGAACTCACTAAAGTAACAATAAGCACATTAACCTTCTAAAAATGTAAATCGGTAGTACCTAATATCAGTCATATACCTTATACATATTTTAAATATTATGTAAATTGTTGGGCAGATTTAGTAAGTGTCAATAAAATGTATTATTTCTTAACACATGTGGAGATCTGCTCAGTTTTATACCTCAAAATTAAAAAGCAAAATGGCTACTAAGCAACAGTGCAGAGCTTTTTGAGGATAACATTTTTATATATTATAAAAATAAAAAAAGTTTAGATTAATATCACAGGATTGTGCAAGTCCAACCACATAACACATTTGATCAATCAGTCATATTTTACATTAACTTGAATGCCTAAGAATGTTGAAAATTTCATGTAAAATACAATTATTATAGGACATCTCACATTAAGAAAGTTATTGATTGGCAGATTAATGTACAAATTTCAGACAAATTGTTTGTTGTTATACACTAACCATGGAAACGACTGCCTATCATTTCTTAAGAAAACGTAAAATTACAAAATTGTCTGTTATGTAAAGGAAAAAAATCAAAGATCTGCATACTTGTTTTCGAGCAATTTGGAGAAGACAGTACTGGCGTGTTTGACATTTCTTGATCTACTTGTGACTGCAATTTTTTTAACTTTTCAGCTTCTTCTTCCATTTCTCGTACGCGGGCTCTAATTACTTCCAAGTCCTAAACATCCAATTTTACTTAAGTATACAGCGGTTCAAGTACATGTGACATGCATTATAAACAAAAAACGAAACTACTTACAGAGTCTGCTGAGGCTTGAGAGTCGGCGAGGTTTGATTGTCCGTTTTCAATTAAATCAAAAGACATGCTATTTTCTATACCAATTTGAGTGTTATGTTCTTCGGACGATAAATCAATACCGCCTTCTAACAATTGATCGTCTAAGTCAGCCATGGTTGATTGACTAAAAAAAATTAAACATTGATTAGGTGTTATTTTATATTTTGTGAAAGGCTAATCAAAAAACACCATAAAGTGAAGTAAGTCGATAATATTATTGTTAAGACACAATATTTACAGACAGGAAAAAAACATAAATAACCTAAAATTATCAAATGGGCGAGCCACAGCCACCTGCAAACTTAAGTTTTCGGTTTTTTTAATTGAACCAGTAAACCATACGGCGGTGAACTCGATATCGTTTAAGTCGTCGCAACGATGTCAATGGCTCGTCGGCGGGAGTGGATCAAAAATTCAGCAAATAAAGGCCGTTCGACCAAAACGGAACGACCGTTAGAAACACCACCACAGACGAACGACGGTTGACGGGCTACATAGGGGGGCGTAACGACGGCGGCAGATCGAGATGAGCTGATCGTGTCGTGTATGCAGTCCACGGATCGGGACAAAAATGCAAAAATGCGAGACGGTCGTCGCGAAAGGCCCGAAAAAAGGCTCGCGAAACCGTACCGCGGCGCCCCGCCGCACGGATCGGCGGTGGTCAAAAGCTGCAAATGGCCGCCGTCCCCGGGCTCCCCGGAGCCGAGCGGATGATCGACAGTCATCCCGGGAACCGAGTCGAATCGGACACCGTAAAGGCGGACTGGCGGACCGGTGCCCGGTAATTGGTAAATAGGGTGGGCCGGGTACTTACGCTGCGTGTCCGGTCCGGATGGAAACGGATGAAATTTTCTATACGGCAGTGCGCGGTCGTCCACGGGCAAAACACTCGTCGTGAGGGGACGCGGGCGGACGTCTGCCGGCAAAACCAAATCGGGGGGAAAAAAACCCGCTATAGGCAGTAGGCACTAACGCACGCACGCACACACACACACACACACACACACACACTACACACACAAACAAACACACCACAGACGAACAGTAACGTAATGAATATAATAATATATATAGTAACGAGTGACGACGACGTCACGAGTTCACGATTCACGGCGAGTAAAATAATAGCTACGACACTATCAACCGCGACACCGTACGTTAAAAACAGTTGTGTACACAGAAAACCGAAATATTGTGTACAGACGTTACACACACACACACAAACACATTAACGCGAGCGCAGTGCGCGCATTTCCACTACAGCATATTTTATCACAATTCCTTAGAGCAGTGGTTCTCAACCTTTTTTCGTTCGCGGCACGCTTGGATGTTCCATCATAATGGCACCGTCTCCACTATAGTCCACTCGTCGTCTAACGTGCCGCGGGACATTGGTTGGGAACCACTGCCATAGCCCGAAGAGTAACAATTTCCACAACAATCGACAAAACTACAATAACGCAGTTGTTGTTGTTAATTGTATTATAATTTCCAAAAGCCAGTACAACCAACTAAATACTCTTTCAGTTGGACTATTGGATTGGACATTTATTTGTAATTAGTGATATTCATTGTAATAAAAATTCAAAAAATATAAATTATAAACCATTTGGCATAGTACCATTCGGCATTCACCATACATAACTTTTTCTGACACCATGATTATGTTACTATAAGTTTATATTACATTATTTTAATATTTTATCATTACTTTATATTTTACGTACCTATTTATTAGTGTTATAAGTTATAACTAGGCACTAGAGTCTAGAACAATAGTTATAGGTATTATAGTTTATTATCGTTGAGACAAATTGTTACTTGAATTCAAACCACGGCTGTAGACACTAGACATGGTCCAAACCACGAGCATACGATGTCTGATAATATGTGCCATAAACGAGTCATGACAACAATACAACATAGAAAACTGAAAGGTGTGTCGGAAGCTTTTTGATATGACTTTGTCAATTGTTCTATATTATGTCTATGTGGTACGCATCGTGTATGGCGGGCTACGACCATAGAGTGACCTATATAAATGCTATAAAGAAGCCGTCCATATGTCTCCACGACCCTACACCCCGTGTCAACGTCTATTAGCTGGTTCGCCGAAGCTTCAGCCGAGTAATTTAACTCGTCGCTCAAATGAGGCGAACCACTCAGCGACGACCGGCGACTATAAGGCTGGGATAGTGGGATGTGTAGCGGCTAGCCGGGCCAAAACGCCCAAAACTTGTATCGTTTAGGTTTAATTGTTTCTGAGATACCTTTGACTATGCTTTGACCATTGTTCTGTGCTTTGACGTACGTTTGTCTCGTTTTTCGTTCGTTTTCGTTTTAGACACACTGTGCGAGTTATCACTTATCAGTCTCTGTTATCGCGTACCTTGAGAAGCGCAATCTAAAATCCATATCGTAATAATTGATAATATTTTATTTTTTTTTAATAATAAAACTATTGTTTTGGTCATTTGGTTTGGACGCGGGTGTCTAAAGTTGGTGATATTCGTGATATTATTCACTTCTATCATGGCGATATGATTAATGTCAACGTCTTGCGCTCTTATCTAATACTTTTTCTTCCCCCGAACATAAAAATATATCACCGACCGATGTTTAATCTCGTAACTCGTTCAATAAAATTAGGACATCATCTCAAGTAAACGACAGTGTTTTTTTTTCCTCGCCGCCACCACACACGGACTGTCTCGTAACTTCTTTTGCCAGTGGCTTGTTCGTCTCTTAAACGTACCTACCTACTCCTAGAACGCGACATGTACTCACTGCCCATCGTGACGAATCGGATTAAGTCTTGTTCTTAGACTTGAGCCAATATAGATCTGTAAAGGTATGCAACGTCAAAACTATAAACTTGTTTACCAACAGACTTCTAATTCAATCACCAATTGTATAGATGCAAATCTATTGGAAGTTGCGAGTGTTTGTTTTTATGTCTTGTCGTAGTTTGGTATTACAAACATTTTAATTTGGGTGGGTATAGGCATTACTAGTTTTGCGAATCGGTATCTGTCTTGCGCTCGTATCTAATATTTTTTTCTTCCCCAAA